GGTGTCTTGATATGTAGTGAAGATGGCATGTGCTTCTGTGTTCTTCCTCCCAGTAACCCTTAACTACAAATAATCATGATTAAAACATCAGGCAAAATATCTGACCAGGACATCTCAGAACTGTCAAAATTATCAAAAAGAAAGAGAGAAAATGGTACAGACAACAGGAAGTGAAGAACCCCACAGCACTACCAGTAATAGGTATCATAAATAGGATTTTGAGACAAAAGGAAATTCCCTAAAAATTAAGGAAAATTGAATAAAATATAGACCTAATAATGTATCAGTGTTAGCCCACTAACTCCAACAAATGTATGCTGATAGGAGAAAATTGCTATGGGACACACAGAAATTTTTTTGTATTATCATCACAATTTTTCAGCAAATCTTAAACTGTTGTAAAAAATGGTGATTTTTCTTTCCCTTAAAGAAAAATAAGGGAAACACTAGCATTTCAGCCATCTCAAGATAAAACAGACAGCAGCTACCTGTGGTCCCCACCTGTCTAGCACAATAATTCAAAATAAAAGTAGCAAAGGAGTCTTGACAACCTGTTCTCCCTGGAGACCTGGTGGCTCAGGACCAAGAAGATTCCATCTCAACATCAACAAGCAGCCCTCACTCTGACACCAGAGGACCACAATGGTCCTGAGACTTTATCTTCTTCTGAAGACAAGAGAGAGACTCCATCTCCACATGTAAAGAGATTAGAAGGCCAACTTAAGTTCCAGGCCAGTTTCCAACACATCCTGGAAGTTGGCCAGCCTGCTGGCTCTGGCCCACAGCAGTAACCAGATGCGGGGTCCGTGGCACAGCACACTACATGTTTGCTGCTTCTCGGCGTTGGGCTTGCTCTGCTCTTCAAGGCTCTCCATCTACACTCCTTCTCTGAGGGACACTGTCATGGCATGCTACAGACTGGAAGGCTACAGCAGCAGGAATTCATTTCTCATACTTCCAGAGGCTGCAAGGATGGGAATGAGGTGCTGGCACAATCGTCTGCATGTGAGGTTTCTGTGCCTGGCCTGCAGGTGGCTTTCTCCATGTTGTTACATGGTCTCCCCTGCATGTGTGACTATGTCCTAATCATTGCTTCTTACAAGGACACAGTTATACTGGATGAGGACCTGTGCATATGTGTCCTTTCCTACTTACCTCCGTAAAGAATTGATTTCAAATACACTCATATCACATGCACTGGAATTCACGAGGGACACAATTCTGTTCATAACCTCGTCCATCTGTCTCACCTGAGGTAAGCAAGCTTGACTAGCTGCAACCATTTTGAGTTGCAACCACCATGCCTGCCCTGAGAAGCCACCATGCACTTTCCTGCAGCACTGTTTCCAGCTCACTGGCATGTGGAGTTCTAGGACCAGACCCCAGCACTGCCACCACCAGGAAAGTGCCTGGTAGCTTCACTGCCACTTGAGATAAATCAAGTAATGGCAGCTTAGGTGAAGCCAGTTTTCATGGCCACTCTCTAAGTTCCTCCTTCTCACCCAAGTCATGGGAATCACTGTATGCCTGCCCACCATTGGCCACACTTCCGTCGGTGAGTTCTCCGTGGTGCTTTATAACACCCTGTCAGCCTGATTCTTCAGTCTCCAGGCACCTTCCGCCTCCGGCAGCCAGGTTTTCACATGGGATTTTCCCAGAACACTCCCCTTTCCTGTCTTGCAATCATAGCACGGTTTGTTTGCATTTCAAACACTTGGTTCATTCCGATTATGTCTGTTCTCCCCAGCCCCTCCTTTATTCCTCTCATTTTAGCAGTTCTTCCTTAGATGAATGTTGGTTTAGTTCCTTAAATCAAAGACACAGAAATAGGGAAATCACCAAAGCAAAGGAAGAACTGGAAGAGCTTTGTGGGAACTTAAGTCTGCCAATAATAAGAGGGGGCTGGAAGGAAGGGGGTCAGACACAAGGTGCTTTAGAGTTTTTCATAGTTCTAATATGAAACACTAAAGCAGCATAGGATTACAATGGTAATAGTACCTTCCTTAGAAGCAATCAAACTTCCCCAACAACCCCTTCTCTTCAAAGGCCTTTCTGGCAGCAGGGAGAACACACCAGAGGCTGGAATACAAGAAAAGTGGGGCCACAGGAGCTACCGCAGGAAAACAGGGTTTTCAGCAGGTAGCTTTGGGTGGG